ATTCCTTCCTATTGCTGCTGTCCCTAGGAGTGGACAGACTTATGCACACAGGCAGCCTGCACTGAGCCACCTGCACACATGGCCAAGCCCAGAGGAGGAAAATGTTGGGCGCACTGGGCCCAGTTCTGTACAGCCAGTAAAGATCAACTCAAGCTGCTGTGAGTGTAATGTTAATCAATAATATAGTCTATCCTGTATATAGAAATTTTAAAGGATTATTTTTTCTTTATTCTTGCAAGATTAAAAAAAATGACCTGGGATTTAGCTCAGTGGTTCTGGCGTCTGCCTTTCATGTGCCAGGACCTCAGTTCGAACCCTGGTACCAAAAAAAAAAAAAAAAAGTCTATCAACTCCTACTTTCTGGAACAAATTGCCAAAGTATGATTAAAACAAATGTAAGGGATACTTTATCTCAGGTTGCCAAAGGAATCACTCATGCACCCAAATTTCTAAGGAAAAGTGGGACACCTTCCAGAAAGTTCTAAGGAAAAATAGTAAATGAGGCACCAGGGCTGATTCAGGCAAAGCCATCTTCCTGGTGCCTGACTCTCATGAATAATGTTTTGTGAACTCATAAGCCTGCCTCCTTTAGCATGGGGTGCCTTCTGAAGAATGGCATTCCTGAGCTTCCCTCTCCATATTTCCCTCAGCTTGCCATATGCAAGGCCATGTAGATCCCAGGCTCCTCAGCCTTAGCCTGAACCCGAAAAAACAGAGAATTTGACCCTGCACTAGACATGCTGGACTGGAGGCTATGGAGAGGTCTAATGAAAATCACCTATGCTGCTTGGCCTGGCATGATATGGTTAGTAGGACGTGAGTTTCTCAAGGGACACCTGGAAATGCACAGGTGTCTTCCTGCAGGCGGCACCCCTTGAAGGATTTGGACCCTGTGTCCTCACTGTTTGTAGAGTACCATGGAGTTTCCACTCATAGGGGCTCTACCTGTACTTCTATTTGTGGGTCTAGAAGAAACCTGGAAATGATGATGGGCACATAATTTCAGCTTGTGTTATAACAATGTTCCTCAGATTTTTATTTAAAAGGCAAGAAAAATTGTGTAAATCCTTTATGCTTAGGCTTTTGACCTCTTTATCTCTGGAAAGACCTCCAAAGTATGGCACTCAGAGGACTCTGCGAAAGTGAAGAATGCTCTCTTTAATAATCCTGTTCTCACAGCCCCGCCTATCTCTCAATGGATATAAAACTGTCCCTCTCCTTCCAGCAGAACCCAATCCCCCAAGAGAACCATGATTTTAAAAATACACAGATAGACTAGCAGATAGGCCACCACACCCCTGTGCTGGATGTGGCCTTTGCTGTGTTCAACAATCAGAACCTCCATTGAGATAACTGTAGAAGGGCAGAGAAAAAAGGACAGAACAAAATTATAGTTGTGGAGAAAAAAAAGGTCCAATCAAAGTCTCCTTTAAACAGAAGAAAACTAGATAGTCATCACTTTACCTTACAAAGCCACCTCCTAGGCCCTCTTCTTTGGTTAGGTGGCCTATGTGTCTCACTCTTGGCATTTGGGATGGAATTTGCCCACTCAAAGCAAGGTGTAGGCCTGCAAAGTCCCTTACCTCCCACTCTGAGAAGAGCACAGAAGGCTCAGGGAAATCTGCAATGTTCCTCTCCATGGACATCTTCATCTCCCATGAAAATGCATAGGTCGCCCTGGATGTCAAGGGAAAATAAATTTGCTCCATTTAAAATCATTTCTCTTGAAAATCCTCCTGTAGATCTAAAGCATGACTACAAAACAGGGGACCCCAAGATGAAGCTTCTTTATAACTGCTCACATGTTCAATCTTAGGTAAAGTATTTCAAATGTCCCTTTCTGGTGCTATGTGCCCATGCTGCAGTCTGGAATAGGGGGCTTGCTTATTCAGAAATAAGTCCCCTAAAGGCAATCTATCTTCTCAGTCAGGTTACAGTTATTCACTACAAATGATAGGTCTAAAGCCTTTTTGGAACATGAAAAGGCTGAAAGAGAAGAATCAAGGGTAATATTCCAAAAACAGAAGAAGATCCTATCATTATTTGCAGTTCCCGAAGAACAATTAAAACCAGTCTAGATAATGAACTGAAACTCCCTCAAACAATGATGTCATTAGGTACACCAACCCTGCATGGAAACATATCATGTCCATAATCTCAGGGCTAGGACTACTTGTGACCACCAGACCTATCTGCAAAGCTTGACCACTTTGATTGCAATAAACTGGCAAGCCCAGCACACTTTCTTATAAAAATGTACCTTCTGTAATCTCAGGAAGATCTCAAGCTCCTATTCAACAAGCAACACTGCAGTTCCACTTTGGGTATAGATAAGTGGAGACATTAAATGACCCGAAACCCATCACAGCTTAAATGAACAGTGTAATAAGACTGCTGTTTATAATTATGTTAGGGTTACAGGTATACTGTTTCTTGATGTGTTAGGGACAGGTATACTGTTTCTTGTAATTTATCTGATATTCATGAGAATAACACATAGGCAGTTTTAATGTCAGCATTATCATTTATAAAATTACTTTTGCAGTTATTCAAATTTTTTTAAAAACATCATGCTAAAATTTTCT